GTCTGCATTAGTAAACCCTTCTATGACATAATGACCATGGTTTTGGTACTTGATGCCATAACCAGGAGCTCCCTTCAGATATTTCAAAATATGGCAGACTGCATCCCAATGTGTAGTTCTTGGAGACGACATAAATTGATTCAATACACTTACCGGAAAGGCAATATCGAGACGCGTGATTGTCAGATAATTCAGCTGTCCCACAATTCTCCTGTACTTCTCTAGGTTCTCAAGAGGATCCCCATCATCAGACTTCAGCTTTACATTCGGAACCATAGGAGCTTCACATGGTTTCGTGTCGATCATGCCAGAATCATGTAGTATGTCAAGGCAGTATTTTCGTTGAGATAGGCAAATTCCTTTGTGATTCCGAGATACCTCAATACCCAAGAAATATTTCAGTGGACCAAGGTCCTTAGTTTGAAATTGAGATGCGAGGAATTCTTTCAACTTCTTAATTCCATTATCATCACTGCCCGTAATCACAATATCATCGACATAAACCACTAGCAGGATACATCCAGAATCAGCACTGAGTGGTCATATGAGCTTCTTCGTAACCCAAATGTAGTTACCACAGAACTGAATCGACCGAACCATGCACTAGGTGATTGCTTTAGGCCGTATAATGACTTCCGTAATTTACAGACCTTCCCAGACTCCCCCTAAGCAACAAACCCGGGGGTTGCTCCATGTAGACTTCCTCTAGCAGATCGCCATGTAAGAAGGCGTTTTTCACATCTAATTGGTGAAAAGGCCAATTATAGGTAGCAGCTAGAGAGATGAAAAGCCGAATAGACGTCATCTTTGCAACAGGAGAAAAAGTCTCAGAATAATCCACTCCATAAATTTGGGCATACCCCTTTGCAACCAAACGAGCTTTTAACCGTGCTATCGAGCTATTAGGATTAACTTTCACAGTAAACGCCCACTTACAGCCAATTGCTCTTTTGCCAGCAGGTAACTCTACCAAATCCCATGTGGTGTTATGATCAAGAGCATTGAGCTCATCAATCATAGCATCCCGCCATCCAGGATGAGTCAAAGCTTCTCCAACCGTAGATGGAATAGGTATAGAATCAAGGGTAGAGACCAAAGAACGAGATGACCTGGAAAGTTTATCATAAGAAACAAAGGAAGCAATAGGATACGTGCAGGAACGTTTACCTTTCCGGAGAGCAATAGGAGCGTCAAGATCAGGATCCTCATTTACTGGAGTGGGTATAGAAGCTTCAGGAGGTACATCTTCTGGGGATGGTGGATCTGCAGACTCAGATGTTATTGGTGAAGACGAAGGAGGTCGTTCGTGCCTATTATATACATGAACAATGGGTGGTCTGGTGGCTTGAGTAGTGGACTCAGGAGTGGGTATGGTATACACCAACAAGTCATCATCTTTCTCATTTAAAGGAGTCGGAGGGGAAATTGGGAAGAACGGCATGTTCTCATGGAAGGTAACATCCCGAGATACAATATAGCGGTTAAGATTGGGAGAGAAGCACCTGTAACCCTTTTGGAGACGAGAATACCCAAGGAACACGCATTTCAGAGATTTGGGATCAAGCTTGGTGATAGTGGGGCGTGTGTCACGAACAAAGCATGTAACACCGAAGATCTTTGGCTCAATAGGATAATCGTTGTCCTGGGAACAAAACAGAGAATGAAGTTTCTCCATTCAGGACAACAGACGGCATTCTATTGATAAGAAAGCAGGTTGTTGATACCGCATCGGCCCAAAAAGACTTAGGGACGGACATCTGAAACAGAAGTGCTCGGGCAACCTCAAGGAGATGACGATTTTTTCGTTCGGCTACCCCATTTTGTGCTGGAGTATCAACACATGAGGACTCATGAAGGATACCATTTTGCAACATATATGATTGAATTTGTTGGGATACATACTTTTTTGCATTGTCACTTCGTAAGGTTTTAATAGATGTTTGAAACTGAGTTTGGATTTCAGAATGAAAGGAACGTAAATGATTAAACACTTCTGAACGGTTTTTCATGAAGTATAACCAAGTAGTTCGAGAATAATCATCTACAAACGTAACAAAATACTTAAAACCAGACTTAGACGTTACAGGACATGGGCCCCAGACATCAGAATATACTAATTGAAATGGGGACGCAGCCGCTTATTGACTCTAGGACTTAAGTGAACACGTTGATGTTTGGCAAACTGACATGACTCACATTGTAAATACTGTAAATGGGAAAATTCAGGACACAACTTCTTGAGACCCTGTAAGGAAGGATGACCTAGTCGATAATGAACTTCAAAAGGAGATGATGAACTGGAACTTGCCAAGGAATATGGTTTGGGTGGTTCAAATATGTATAGGCCATCCGACTCCCGTCCTCTACCAATAATCCTCTTCGTCTGCAAATCCTGAAAGACACAATGATCAGGAAAGAATGAGACACTACAATTCAAAGTGNAATTATTTGGGAGACAGATCCATCAGCTACTGTGACTTGAGCTGAGGATGCATGTTTATTGAAATTTAGGAGAAGGTGGGAATTACCAGTCATATGGTCTGAGACACCTGAATCAATGACCCATTTGGAGGAGGATGATACAAAGCATTTGCCAGAGTTACCTGTCTCAGCAAACATAGCAGTGGAAGCAGCGGGGTGCTCATTTACCAGATGAGGTTCCTCTTTGTGTCTCATAGTTATGTCATCTAATGTAGTTGCAGCATGTGCTAAGGAGAGTCTCTGATTTCTAACCTGCCGTTTCTTGCAATTAAACTTAGTATGACCAAGTTCATGACAGTAGTGGCACTCTACGTTTGAGTTAAAATCAGTTGGTCGATCATTGTGGCCTCCTCTAGTGCTACCCCTTCCACGATAGCCACCTTGAAAACCGCCACGGTATCCACCTCGGCTAAGTAAAGCCGAATTATGATCAGATGGTGGAGTAGGCTGAAAATCTTCATGCCGAAGAACCCGAGCAAGAGTCTCTTGAAGAGAAGGCATCACGGATTCATTTAAGAACTGAGATCTGATGGAATCATATTCTGGGCGTAAGCCAGTCAGGAAGCTTATGGTAGCAATCTGTTCCCTTTGAGTCTGCATAGTTTTCACATCGGTACTCAATGGAAAAAGAGAGTTCTTTCCTCATATATCTTCTTGAATTCCATGGCATAGGCAATAAGTGATCGGTCCTGTTGTTCCCCACGATGGAATGACTTACATACGCTGTAAATCCTTGAAATATTACTTTGTCCGGAGTACAGGAAGTCAAGATATTCTATTAGCTCTTTCACATATTCACAGTGACTGATTAAAGTTGAAACGGAGGGCTCAATAGAATTTATAATTTGCAAGAACATACGGGCATCTTGTTGTAACCAAAGATCACGATTACCCGTGGTGGGAGGGTCAGATTCCAGATAGGAAGCCATTCCCATACTTCGAACATACAAACAAATCGTTTTGATCCATTCGAAGTAATTGTTACCATTAAGCTTGTTTTTAGTAACTTTACTACCGGCTGAAATTATGTCAGGAACACGAGTACTACCGGAGGCTTTATCATCAGTGTTCGTCATATTAATCAAATCAGAAACGAACACCCAAGGGACAGATTATCAAAGGAAACCAGACTAAACAGATAGCAATTAACAGAGTTTGACCAAACAGATGAGAACAGATTTGTTGCGACTAGATAACAGCAAAATTAGACCAAAAAGATGCCGGAAAACAAACCAGATGGGGATTCCGACCAGAACCCTAAAAGTCGAAGGTCGTCGGAGGCCGGAAAAGGGCTCACACGCCGGCGCGTGGAGGCGTGACGGCGGCGGACTAGGGTTCCGACGACGCCGGGGGGGGGGGTTCCGGTGTGAACAGTAACTCCAATGTGAACAGTAACTCCGATGTGAACAGTAACTCCGGGCTTGGACACATTACCATAAACAGGTTACTTAATTAACAGGATATTGATCTATCTATATATCCGAATAGGTTATTTGTGACAAGAAAGGGTTGAATCATTGTTTTCCAATAACCGTAGTTTGTAGGAGTTAGGGTAAAAGCAAACTTGTGTGAATTGTGAGATTGTTTCTCCGTTGTTGTGAAAGAGGCTATTAGAGTCATGATGTAGTAATGTACCGTAAAAGAAAAGAAGACTGAAAATTAGGGTTCTAGTTGCGGCAACAGACGGCAGATTCCAGCGGCGGCCACGGCAATGGATGATTTCAGCGGCGGCGGCGGTGGCGGACGGTCAGATTAACAGAGGCGGCAGTGGCAACGGACGATCAGCCTTGTAGTGGCAACGGACAATCAGCCTTGTAGTGGCGTGACCAAGAGGGCAGGTAGGGTTTTGATAACGTGGCTCTGATACCAAGATAAACCACAAGGGTTTTGTGTGTTGATTTGATATGTAACCTAATTACAATCGGTCTCTATATATAGAGATACTAATTACATAGGAGTGCCCTCTACATTATACTAATTACACTTAAGTACATTCATTCTAATATATTCTAGTGCTCTTCCCCTACTACAAAGTCACCCGGCCTCTCAACCTTTAACATCCTCATACCATCTAGCTTACTCAAGTAACCCTCCATCATATTCATCCGGGAATGCCATATCAGCATTTGCAATCTTCAGTGTCAAAGATATTGGAAAGGAAGGGTATAAGAAGATGTTCCAATGCTTTTATTGTCACAAATATGGGCACACTAAGTATAACTGTCCAAACCATCCTATTCTTCCCTGGATCTTAACGACCACCTCGTCCTCCTCGAACCTAGGTAGCATTTATTTATAATATCACGATCACGTACACCTTATATAGGTTCCGAAGCTATATATATAATCATGTAATCCTCACCTAATCAATACATGATTTCCTAAGTAGCATTAATCAAAAGAACATGAAATATCAGTAGATCAAGCAGTAAAACAAGGTTAAAATAAAATAAAACAATAGCAATAAAACTTAATGGAGGAGCATCTCCAGCTTGATCAAGTGCTATGTAAGTGTTCACCTGGACATCATCGTTAAACATTCTGTAGGTATTTCTGTAGCGTAGCAGTAACTTTGAGGCCCACTTGCGTTGAAAATCTTCGAACTAGCAGAAAATCATGTGATAAGTGTCTTCTTGGAATATTCATCAACAAAATGGTTAAAGTAAGAACAATTGATTGGTACCAGATCATTTTTTAGGTGCTTTCAAACTAATTATTGGAATTTGATGTGCCATAACCAGGGAGGGAAGGTAGTTGTAATATTGGGAACCTGAATATAAGTGCTACCGTTTTAAGATGCCAATAAATGCTAGCGCATGGGTGTACGGTGTACCTTTCTCAACCTTTTATTTTATGTTTTTCAATCTGCCGAAGACCCTAAGAGATCATGAGTATAAAGTCCTGCTTATCATTGAACTACAATATGTATATGTGATATTATGACTTCAAATCTAAAGCCTCTTACAGTGGATGGTTTGACTTTTATTCTGAAAAATGGGTTACATTTTATATTTTAAATTTCAAACTTCATATTTTTTAAACGACATAATTTATATTGCAAACTTAGCACCAAAATTATTTTAGTTGTGGGACGTTGTGAAGTTCAATGGAAAAAAAACTTGGAGCTCTTTGTTGGAATATGGTAGCATCGTCATCTTACCAAGATTAACTATGTCATGTCCTCATGGGTACATTGTTTCCCAAATGGAGGCCAAATGGTACACAAGAGAATTGACAGAGGATAAATTACAAAAGAAGGATGCAAAGTGGGGGAGACAAAAAACCCATATACATCAAATCCATATGGTTCCTAAATATCAAACTTTAATTCCTTGTTAGAAGTTCATATTGCAGATGGGAAGAGACCTGATTTTCGGATGACCAATAAAGAAATTACCTTTTCGTTTGAAAACTAAGTCATGGATTACATTATTGTCCTAGCAGTAAGCTAAGGTTCTCCTTTTGTTAAAGGCTCCCGATTCCTCAAGCAGATGGGAACCAGATAAATTGTTCACCACAAAAAAGCATGAAAATTCTTTCCTTATCAACAAGTATTAATGAACATGTAGACACACAGAAAAACAATACCTGCACTATCACATGGGGCCAACGATTGAACAAAGCCTCCATAAGTTCATCAATAATGGAAAGATACTCCTCGCCTTCAAGACGGTGTTCTTGCAATCCTAGATCTAGAAAAAAAAAGCTACCATCACCATCTAGAGCAAGATTTGTTCAGAAAATGATCCAAAAATATGACACAAGGTGACATTTAGTAATTTCACTTTCACACAATGAAATTCAAGAATAGGGTAATATGTTGTAAAAGAATGAATCAACCAACATCCAGTAACTAGTTGTAACTATTAATGTATCAGCAATTATAAGTGAATAAAAAGAATCTTACACAGAGGGTCTTTAAGAAGGGTCTCGTTGTTGGTTCCAACATCAATCATAATAGGAAGAACCTATTAGAAGATAAGTGTACACATTAAAAAATGTAGAAAGAAATATAAGTTGGTGGCTAATACAAAGGGATAAAGTAGAGCATTAATGCATATGGTGAATTGGACCAGTAAATAGATATCAACAATTACAAAAGTATTAAGATGGATAATGTAAAAATATTACTCTCTGAGGATTTATTCCAGCTGCTGCAACATATAAATCCAACTTCCCTATTGCAATGCCAATCCCCTGAACTCCTAGATCACCAAGTCCCATGATACTGCTTCCATCAGTAACAACAATCATATCAACCTATGCAAAATAGAAGGTATCAGTGCCTAGGCAGCTTATGAAGAATTAATAGTAACAGCAATATAATAACAGGTTTCCATGTCATGCAGCAGTAACGGTCATATGACCATCTCCACACTTGTCATGTATATTACCCCGTTACATGATCTATTATATAGTTCCATAGCAATAAAATCACCACTTGAAGGACAAGAAACCCCAGGTGAACCACACCACTTGTCTATGTAGACTGCTTTTTGAAAATAAATAATATATATAAATAAATAAGTTAAAAGGCTTTAAATACAGGTGCCAACCCCTCTAATATTTTTAAAGGGAATCACATCATTCATAAGTACAGACCTGATCAGCAGGCCAATTATAAACCATTGCCATCATTTCTCCACGATCAGCAGCACTGAAATACATCCCCCTGGGCCTTCTAAACAATCCACTGTATTTCTGGCAAACAAGTCCAACTGTTGGAGTGTACACTATTGGGGCATACTCCTTGATATGGGCAATTAGGATCTGGTTATAACATAGACATAATGTCATTGGTGTAGATTCTAAATTGTTGTAAGAGATTCTGACATGATTGAACTTGTCACAGTAATGTACTACAAACCATTTAACCTTAGTAAATCAGAAGGAAAAAAACTATGACTCAAATGGAACAAATTGAACTGTATCACTAAGAGAAAAGAAATATGTATGCTAATACAAACTTTTTGCCACATACCAAAAAGAAGGAAAAATAGTACAACAATTACTAATCCTCATCAAATTTGAACATAGATAGCAATATCATAAATGCCCACCTTTAACCAATATGATCAATTTGAGTCCATGGGAGAGGCTCGGTCAAGATATCAGCCAACAAAGATGGGTTCAATAGATGGAGAATTGGTTCTTAGATATGTGTATGGCTGCATACCAGTCACAATCACACAACTCTTGAACTAGTAGAAAAACCAAACAGCAAACCAAGTCAATTGATAAGCTGTGTAAGCCACGACACTGTACTAGGATGCAAAACTAGAGCAAGAACATATATTGCTTCTTGCATTTCCACAATACTATGTTCCTTTCCACTTACACATGATGCCCATAAGCCAATCCTGAACATAAGGACAACCAACATAACTAGCATTGGAGAATAGGCGCATGAAAAAAAATTCAAGTGGGTGCTCATAATAATTAACATAATATAAATAAAACAAAATTTAAGTATAAACAACAGTTTCATTAAAAATGACAAACAAGTGGTTTTTTGCAACACCTAAGTGGTTTTTCATAACTTATGGGGCACACATCGAATCACAGCGGATGCACTTTCAAGACTCATAAAGAATTTTCCACTACGTCTAGATAATAAAGGGGGGACATGGGACCCCCTAGACAATATGTAAATCCACCCATTCATCGGAGTACCTAATTATCCTTTCATGTCCATGATTGTTTCAAGAAGACATCTCTCAGGGGTACTCTTGAGAAATAGTAGAATAATGTGTGAGAACCCGCATTGACTAGTAGTGTAAGAAAACATGAACCAACTCGATGAGAATGGAACATTGGGACTTCAAAATTTTGGGAGAAAGTTCCACTCCATAACCTAAGAAAAATTTCACACATGCAACCAAGGAAATCCTTGAGTATGTGCATTTCAGACCTTTGGGGACACGGGAGAGTCCAGTCACATGGTGGAACAGTTTACATGTTGATAACTATCAATGACTACTCACAAAAAGTATGGGCGTTCTTCTTGAAGCAAAAAAGTAATGTATTTGCTACCTTCTGAGATTGTAAGACGATGGTAGAAAAGCAAACAGACAAGCAATTCAAGTATCTATGAACCGACAATGGGTTGGAATTTTGTTCTTCTAGTTCGTAGATACTTGACTTGCTTGTTTGTTTGTTTTTCTTTCATCATCTTCCTATCTCAGAAGGTAGCAAACACATCACTTTTCTGTTCAAGAACGCCTATAGTCATCAATAATTGTTAACATGTAGACTGCACCACCATGTGACTGAAGTCTTGCTGCCCCCAAATGTATGAATGCACATAATTGAGGATTGTCCTTGGTTGTATGTGTTGAGCTAGAAAACAGAGACCCTCTTTTGTTTTCCAAACACACAGTGCTAACAAAATGGAAGCTTCTTGGTCGATTAACTGCACAATAGGTTCTTTGCTCAACTTCATCATTCCAGCCTCACTCATATGACCGAGCCCATGTACAACCTTGTCCTATCAACAATAGATATAGAAGAAGAAACTACCTCTACATCACCCATGATGGTAGTGCATGGTAGAACATACAGATCGGTACTTTGATGAGTGCCCTTCATGAAGACATGTGATCCTCTAACCACCTTGATAACTCCACCTTTACCAACTAGCCTTAGTGATACTTTAGCATGCACCTTAGACACAAGTCTTATTTCCAAACCGATCATTTACCACTTCCTCCATAATTACGTCTTTATACAAACAAGACTTAACGGAAAAACTAAATAGACTCTTCATAATTCTCATTAAATTGAAAGCATACAGACTAAATTTAAAAACTTGGGTACAAAGGAATTTATAATATAACTTTTGACCCTAGTGCCAAACATGAAGTGAACTCTAGACTAGCTATGGCTCAACTAGAATATTCGAGTGCAATAAGATGCTTAATGTATGTTATGCATTGTATTCGACCAAGTAATCTTTTGTTGTAAGCAAACTGAGTTAATACACAAGTAACCCATAACCACTCAAAAGTTGTTGGTTTCTTGATAAAATACCTAAAAAAGAATAGCAATCTTACACTGACATATGACACGTACCCTAGTCTCTTGAAAGGGTTTTCTCAAATGTCGGTTCATTGGTGATTCAAAATTGACTAGTGGATGCATTTATACTCTTGATGGAGGAGCTGTCTCTTAGAGGGAGTGAAGAAAGAAATGTGGATTGCTCACTCTACCATGAAAGCTATTGGTTGTGGCTGGCAAGAAGGCTGGGTTGGTTAGGTATATTATTAGATATTCATTTGTGGCCAAATCTAGTGCCTCAAATTTCATGTATTCGGATGGTGAAGCTACTTCGTCAAAAGCATATAATACACATGTATGAGTCATTGTCAAGACATGGCAGGTTAACCCCCTTAACAAAGTTTCAGGGGTATCTTAGCAATGGAGATGTTATAGAAACATTGTCTGTATGATCTAGAAGTGGTTCGCTTCATATAGAGTTATGGTTTCTCTCTTAGAGGATCACGAAATAAGATTTGGTGCATGGTGGTATATGCCTTCGATAAGGATACATAAGGTAAAGTGAGAAATACTTACGAGGGTGTCAGTTATATCATTTGAATTTAGGGTTTAATCTTCGAACACCTCTGAATTGATATAACTTGCATACTTGGGAGATTATTGGAAATTAAAATGAGTTGAAAGTTCAATTCAAATGAGGAAATAACAAAGTATGCCAGACAAGTTGTCCTACACAAATGGAAAATTCTAAGGGTTTATAGTAGTTGTATATCCCTTTGAATTTAATAGTGCATATGATTTGGTAGGGTATAAAGAGGGATCGAAATCACCATCGTCTTGAGCTAAATACTGGTTTGTGAACCGTCATTGTTTAAATAAAACTATGACATATGTTAATGATCATTTTGGTTACAAAATTTCGTAATCATTATCATAATTGTGGAATACATAAGAGGACCGGCAAAATAGACGAAAGTTAATAATGGTCATTAATAGGATGCTTATGAAGAATAGTGATGGTCATTAAGAGGGTGCTTATGGTTTTGATGTGAAACACACCTCATATACACCCAAGAATACTCTCCTCATTTGGCTATTGATGCCTACTTCTGCTTGGATGTTGATGTCTACATCTAACTCAATTTTCTTGCTTCTTTGACTTGTTTATTGTTTTAGGTTCTTCTAACTCAATTTTCTTGTTCCTTTTGCTATTTCATCTGATCCTTTGGGGAAACTCTCTTGATTTCACACATTTTTCACAAGTCGGGGGTTTTCACATAAACAACCACTTTGCTCTTTGGGGTAGAGGTCAGTTTGTATAAATCTTACCCCACACTCCCGAGCCACCTGCGAGTGGAATATATTGGTTTGGTTTACAATGCTCTATGCATATTGCTACAAAATTTTACTACCTCCTACATCATCTGTTTTGTTTGGCTGATTGCTACCAAATGAATCCTTCAGTGTGAGCGCATCAAATCTTGGAGGTGGACGGTGTCAAGAATTCAAGCAATCAAGTGAAATGACTTTATAACACCTTAGGAACATGTTGTCATTCAGAGTCTACTCCTTTTGGTTCTACTATGTTCCATTTCAAACACTTCACACAAATATATGCAAAGATCTTCATATGCCAATCCAATCAATCTTGGATTTAAAAGCATGACTTTATTCACTAAGTCATTCTACATGGAGATATCATGTGCTTGAGAATGTAGTGAAGTATGCAAGTTCCCTCAAAAGAATTTTCTCAACAATGACTCACCTTATAGTACATCGTTTCATTTCTATCATGTAGCCTATTAAATATTCGCCACTTGGCCAAACAGGTTGTGTCATCAAATCCATCCCTAGCATTCATCTCAAGCTTCTTCAGGTCCGTCACTGTAAATTTAATAAAAAAAATATTTTCAAGGAATACTTCACATACATAGAATCAGGTGTATATTTTATTGAAACTCAAAGATAAGAATATATGTAGTTGTACAAAGTAGCACTTGAAGTCCTTTAGCACACAGAATAAAAGCCATACACTACTAAGAGAGTGAAATGAAACAATTAATGGTTATTACCAAGCCATACCATGATGTTCCTAAGTAAGAATTACAAGTCACCGTGAACTATCAGGTAAAATGAATACATTATTGGGCATAAGTTTGCTAGGTGGTAGGGACGAATATTTGAACATGCTAACTCATAAGCAATGTAACTTGACTTTCAAGTTTTAAATATCAATGTGAACTTTTTATTTTATGTTATGAATTGTTTGACCAATCCCCTTTCTGAATCATTTGTGAGCAAATTGTCTATCCTAATTTCTAGGTTCAAACGAAAGTGAATATAATTTAGTAAATTGGGGAAGTTAATCTGGATTCAACTTATTCAAACCATTATCTGGGTTCTGGCCTAGCATCAATTCCATGATATGATCATACATAATGGCCTGGCTCCCTATATTTTATTTTTTGGATAAAGTCCCAGCTCCCTTTATTTTAACACACTAAGAGGAAGGTTTGGGTAAAAGTAGAACATTTGATAACTATGATAAAAGTGGTATCAAAATTCACTTCTGCATATATGATATATGTATCTTAGTCACCGCTGGATATACATGATTCATCTATGGAAAGATATACTCCTAAAGATTAAACAAAAAGGCAGGCTGATGGATCTTTATTAGAAGTTGTGAGAAAAGTTAGTCCCCTAGTCCCTGTCACCCATTATATATGATCATACCAAAGCTCAAATTCACATATCCTGTAAGAAAGGAACCTATGGTTTTTAACATATGAGCATGCTAACATAAATGTGTGTACATCAATGGCACGTTCCAGAAATAAATCATGTTAATTTCCGTACCACTTCTATATTTTCACTGTCAATATTTCATGCAATAACAAAGCAAAACACAAAACCAAAAGTATAAAACAATATACTTCGATAAGATATGTGACCGATTATTCTATATCTCAAATACATTCAACAAAAGACTGTCATGGAATGCTTATCATATTTAGTAACAAGCAAAAATAAATGAAGGTATTAACTTACTAAAGCGTTCAGTTTGTTGTTCCTCGGTCTGAACATTTGGAGGTAGAAGTCCACGCAGTTCAAGACGATCTCGTTCGGTCATGGAGAATGATGTTCCCTATTAATTAAAGTTGCCAAGTTTAATCCTGATTTTTGGTTAACAAACAGAATCGGCATGTGATCATGACATAAGCCCTCCTAAATAAGTGAACCAACAGTTCCATGTCAAATGCTCAGCATTTGGCTTTTCCCACACCCCATTTTGTCAAACGGAAGGTTTGGATTGAAACTTACTTTGTCAATCGGGAACGGAAATATTGGATGCTGCTCAAGAATAAGTGATAATCATAATCAATCAAAATAGGTACTAAATAAGTATGCGATCCACAGTATAAAAAACTCAAATGACTTGGTAGGTTATTTTTCATTATAATGAGGCTATGGTTACTAGCTCGGCTTAGTTGCTCCACAAAGAGTATCATGGAGAATGCATGTGCAGTGCAATAGCAACACAAACAAGTTTGTTTCTCCCAAAGTAGTTGAGGTAGGCTACAAAAAGATACCAGGTCATAAAGAGGTAAAAGCTAAAAGTGACCATATAGGGCCTGAGGACATAAATGACATCCTTCCGCGTGCCCCATCTACAACTGCAACCAACTACGACATACTCCTTCATGCAAGTCTTTCTTCACTAACCCCCCCCCC